GGTCCCATTAGACTGATCAGTGTAAAGACTTCATTGGTGACATCCAGAGCCCCTTCTTCTCCATATGTGCCTATCAGGATGTTCTTGGTGGAGATCCAGTCGGCATTTTCTAGTTTTCCTCGGGGGATTGGAAGTTTACCTCCATAAGCGAAATCAGACAATTTGTTCCTAAATCTCTTGAAGTCACATCCTTTCAGATCTTTCAGAGAATATATGAGAAGATCCCCGGGGGGTTTGTGTGACCTTTCCCAGGAAACCAGGAGCCAACCCTGCAGAGAGGACAATCAGCAACCATAAACATTAATCCCGATTGGATGATTTCTGACACATGACAGCTGATAAGTCTATACTGGCAGCTGGTAATGTTATAAAGAGCATATAGAAGAGGAAGGAAATCCCCCCCCAATATGTATATACAGTATGTACATTATCCTATGGAGGGATTGGCTGTGATAATGTCACATGACCTCTTCCAGGATGGTGTGTTACCTCTCAGATGGATGAATATTGAACACCAAAACCTAGGGATCTATTTATAAAAAAAAAAACATCACCTTCATGAATAATCCCCATAATATGTCAAATATGTTTATTTCTTTTCATCATCAGCTCCATCTAGTGGCCATAATGTCATATCTTACTGGTTGAGGTATTTCAAGAAAATATTGTATTATGGCCACTAGATGGAGCTGATGATCATAGGAAGTAAACCTTTTAGACACATTACGGGGATTATTGGGATGGCTGTGCAAATGACACAAACTTTTAATACATATTTAATATATATACCTCCTAATGTATATGTAGAGATCACCATTTTAAACATCACATTTATTGATTGTTTTATAGTAAACTAAAAAAAACCTATATATCCTGTAAAAAATGTCACCCCCAGAAAAGATATGTGTGATCAATGTGAACTAAGAACTCTGTTTACCCCAAATCTCCCAGAATTATGTGTCATGAAACACGGGGCTGTGTCCTCCTTAGGATTATAGGCAAAGGATTCCCCCGACCACTGCACAGCTAACCATTCAATGTGGGATCATACAGTCATTATGGATCACTGGGCCATATCAGAAGATCATTTCCATCAATGATAAATAAAATCTGAAGACACGGGAATGTGATTGCAGAATTGATGGAATCTGCTGAACTCTTCTATTGGGAGGACTGACCAGATGTCTACAGGAAATGTCCAGAATACAGAGACAGAGGACATCCTATCATCTAATTCCAATCTCTGGAGATGTGAGATGGAGGAAACCATTGGAAAGGATTGTCAGGATCAGCAGTCATACCTTGTGAGGAGGAGGATGAGGAGGAAGAGGTCCCCATGACATCAGGAGATGACCCAAGATGACATCACCTGGAAGGATCACAAACAATCATAAACTCATTTGTGGTGCGATGAACAGAACCAATAAGAAGGATCTTGTTCTCTTATGTGAATAACGATTGGCTGCCTGGTTGTCCAATCAGAGAAGATCCAAACTGGATGGACTTCTGTCATTTACAACCCATAACTCTGAAGGTCAATTAGAACCTTCATCCTGGCACTCATCTGATTGGTATATCGGGTCACACAGGAATTTTAGCCTGTTTATACAATTTATACAGACTCGTACTTTTAGGTGTCACCTCCACAAATCTGTGCCATTTATAGCCAAGTAGATTCTTCAGGAAGGTCGTTATTTATTGATCATAAAAACAGGTTAAGACATCATCATCATCATCATGTTTCTTGGCACTTCAGTGGCCACTTTGTCAGGAAAAGGTGTACAGTGCACTTTAATGGGTGGGATCTGTGTATATACCTGCAGCCCAGAGTATACGGTACAGTATACGGATATGTCCCCCACATGTTACACATATTAAATCTAAACAGACCCTGAGAGTCGGCTGTGAAAGGAAATTAATTAGTTACAAGGACACATTGACTCCAGCACACAATGGGTTAGAATGGTCCTCCCATAACACCAGAGGTATATAACTGACATTGACATCACTACTGACACTGAAACAGTGATCAGATACAGTACTGTACACTATCACTGTACTAATGTCACTGACTGGGAAGGGGTTAACAGCAAGGGCCAATCAAAGGGGTTTACTGTGTGCCTATCAGGTGTAATGTGTGTCCTATGTGCTGCTTTCACTTACAGATCTGCCTGTAACAGCCACACTGCTGATCTGTGCACAGAGTTCTGTGCGTTTGTAACCACAGGACTCTGTGCTGTGATTGGCTACAGCCAGACCTGCTGACAAAATCCCATTGTAGCCACTGACAACCTAGAACAGGCTGGATGACATACATGTACGAGATCCAGCCTGCTGGTGCGGAGCTCCCCCAGTAAATGTACTGTGGGTAGGCAGAAACCAGTGAAGAGGATAATACAGGAGGGTTACCCCCTCATCCCTGCACCCAACCCGGACACATCATTATTACACGGGATCTGAGGATCAGTTCATTCAGATAAGGAGCTAGGCGAGTTGCATTACTGCCTTAATCAGCCACAGAATCTGTGTAATTCATGTGTTCAGTACCACTTCCCCCCCCCCCACCCTACAGCACAAATACTGTTGCAGCTGGTCAGTGTCAAAATGCCCGCTGCAGTCCACTATAAGTCGCTGATCACCACATTACTAGTATAAACATTTTTTTTTTAAATCCCACTCTCTATATAGCCATTTGTAGATGCTATAACTTTCATGTAAACCAATTAATTTCCACGTATTGGGATTATTTTTTTTAGCAAAGACACGGAGCAGAATACATTTTGGCCTAAATTTAAGACATCATTTGATTTTTAAAATTTTTCTATTAAACTGTTTTACAGCAAAAAGCCCAAAATATTTTTTTTTTTTTCAAAATTGTCAGTCTTTTTTTGTTTTGAGCACAAAAAGTAAAAATGCATAGTCAAGCAAATACCACCAAAAGAAACCTATATTTGTGGGAAAAAAAGGGCATACATTTCGTTTGGGGTGCAGCATTGCAGGACAACGCAATTGTGAGCTAAAGTAATTCAGAGCTGTGTCACAAAAAATGGCCTGGTCAGGAAGGGGGGGGGGGGGGGGGGGGGCTCAGAAGGGGGAGGGGATAAAGGGATGAGGAGGAAACCCTATAATACACCAAAGATTAATATAAAAATAATAGCACACACCCCAGGAATATACAGTATCTCCCAGAAGTGAGTTTGCCCCTCACATTTGTGTAAATATTTGAGCAACAATTCTTTTTTTCAGATCCTCAGAGAGTTCTTTGCCATGAAGTGCCATGTTGAACTTCCAGTGACCAGTATGAGAGAGTGAGAGCCATAACACCACATGTAACACACCTGCCCCCCATTCACACCTGAGACCTTGTAACACTAACGAGTCACATGACACCTGGGAGGGAAAATGGCTAATTGGGCCTGATTTGGACCTTGTCACTTAGGGGGTGGACTCAACTTTGTTGCCAGCGGTTTAGACATTAATGGCGGTGTGTTGAGTTATTTTGAGGGGACACAAATTTGCTATTATTATTATACAGGATTTATATAGCGGCAACAGTTTGCTCAGTGCTTTACAATATAACGGGAGACAATACAGCAACAATACAGTTCAATACAAGAGGGATTTGAGGGCCCTGATCCTGGGAGCTTACAATCTAGGAGGGAGGGGCTAGTGGTACAAACGGTAGTAACTGTGGGGGATGGACTGATTGGAAGAGTAGAAGATTCCACTATTAGCTGAGGGCAGGATAGGCTTCCCTGAAGAGATTGGTTTTCAGAGATTGCCAAAAAGTGAGCAGAGTAGGCGATAGTCTGATAAATTGGGTAGAGAGTTCCAGAGGATGGGGGAAGGTCTGGAGAAGTCCTGGAGATGAGCATGTGAGGAGGAGACAAGAGAGCTAGAGAGTAGGAGGTCTTGCGAGGAGCGGAGAGTACTGTTTGGGTGATATTTAGAGACAAGATCGGTGTAATTTGGGGCGGATTTATAAATGGCTTTATACGTTATTGTTAGTGTTTTGAATTTTATCCATTGGGCAATGGGAAGCCAGTGGAGGCCAGTGGGGTTTGGCAGAGAGGGGTGGAGGACACTGAGTGGAGGCCAGTGGAGGGATTGGCAGAGAGGGGGGTGGCAGATACAGAATGGTGAGTAAGGTGGATGAGTCTGGCAGCAGCATTTATGATAGACTGAAGAGGGGATAGCCTGCGATGAGGTCGGCCAATGAGGAGGGAGTTACAATAGTCAAGGCGAGATATAACAAGGGAGTGAATAAGTTGCTTAGTGGTTTCCGAGGTTAGGAACGGGCGTATCTTGGAGATGTTGCAGAGGTGAAGTCTACAAGATTTGGACAGTGATTGGATTAGGGGCTGAAAGGACAGATGGTAGTCTAGGATTACACCTAGTACCCTGGCATGAGGGGAGGGACTGATGATTGTGTTATTGATCTTGATGGAGACGTCGGGGGGGGGGCACAGGCTGGGGGGAATACTAAGAGCTCAGTTTTGGAAAGAGTGAGTTTTAGGAAGTGGAGTGACATCCATGCCGATATGTTGCTTAGTAGGTTAGTAATGCAAGTGGAGACTGAAGGGGTGAGGTGAGGGGTAGAAAAATAGATTTGTGTGTCATCAGCATAGAGATGGCTCTTAAAGCCATTGTATTTTATCAAATGACCAAGGGAGGAGGTATAGATGGAGAAGAGAACGGGTCCAAGGACAGAACTGTGAGGGACCCCCTACAGAAAGAGGGAGAGAAGAGGAGGAGGCAACGTTATAGGTAACACTGAAGGAGCACTGCGATAGGTAGGAGGAGAACCAGGAGAGAGCAGAGTCTTGCAGGCCAAGAGAGTGGAGTTTTTTGAGGAGGAGGGGATGGTCAACCGTATCAAAAGCCGCAGCGAGGTCAAGTAGTAAGAGTACGGAGTAGTTGCCATTGGTTGGGATGAGTATGGAGTAGTTGCCATTGGTCGGGATGAGTACAGAGTAGTGGCCATTGGTCTGGATGAGTACGGAGTAGTGGCCATTGGTTGGGAGGAGTACGGAGTAGTGGCCATTGGTTGGGATGAGTACAGAGTAGTGGCCATTGGTCGGGATGAGTACGGAGTAGTGGCCATTGGTTGGGAGGAGTACGGAGTAGTGGCCATTGGTTGGGAGGAGTACGGAGGAGTGGCCATTGGTTTTAGCAGTTAGTAGATCATTAGTGAGGTTTAGTCGGGCAGTTTCAGTGGAGTGTAGTGAGTGAAAGCCAGACTGTAAAGGGTCAAGAAGGTTGTTGTCGGTGAGGTGGGAGCTCAGGCGATTGTAGACTAAGTGTTCTAGGATTCTAGAGATAAATGGCAGCAAGGAGATGGGTCTTAAGTTGTTCAGGTTGGTGAGGTCCAGGGAGGGCTTTTTAAGTATGGGAGTGATGTGCGCATGCTTTAAAGGGGAGGGGAAGGCACCAGTAGAGAGGGAAAGATTGAAGATGTGAGTGAGGGAGCATAGGATGGAAGAGGGTGACCGCAGTAGTTGTGAGGGGACAGGATCCAGGGGGCAGGTGGTGAGACGGGCTTCTGAGAAAACCTTAGTGACCTCTTCAGTAGTAGCGAGGTCAAAAGAGGAAAGTGTTGAAAGGTTTAGTATAAGGTATGCTAAGTGGGATGGATGTCTGTGTGGTGGCGATGCCCCTAAGAATTGCATCAATCTTGTTTTTAAAATGATTTGCAATCTTGTGAGCCGTGAGTGAGGTACTGGGTGGAGAGAGTAGAGAGTTAAAAGTAGAGAAGAGACAACGAGGACTGGATGACAAGCTATTAATAAGAGTGACAAAGTAGGCTTGTTTGGCAGCATGGGGGACTTGTATGTTAAGAAAGCAGATTTATATCGGGTGAATGCTTGGTGAGATTTTGTTTTACGCCACAATCGTTCCAACGCACAACTATGTTGTTTAAGAGTTCTGGTGTCGTTAGTCTGCCAAGGTTGTAATGGTCGGGGCCTGATGCTTCGTGTTGTGTTAGAGGAGCAAGTGAGTGTAATGTGGATGAAAGTGAACTGTTGTAGACAGCAGTGGCCAGGTCAGGGCAGGACAGGGGAGAGATTCTGTCATAGAGGAGGTCAGTTGCAGAGTGGAAAGGAGAAGGGTTCAAGTTGTGAAGGTTTCTACGGGTAATTGTTTGCTGCTTGGAGGGATAGGTGTCTGAAGATGGGGACACTGTGAAGGTGATGAGATTGTGATCAGAGAGAGGAAAGGGGGTGTTTGTGAGGTTGTAGGGAGTGCAAAGATGGGAGAAGACAAGGTCTAATGTATTCCCATCAGAGTGAGTGGAGGACTGTATACATTGTACTAAGGCAACAGATGAGGTTAGGTTGAAAAGTTGGGATGTAGCCGAGTTGTTGACATTAATTGGAATTTTAAAATTCCTGAGAATTTACATGTTATACAAGCTGTGCACTGACTACGTCACATTGTAGCAAAGTGTAATTTCTTCAGTGTAGTCACATGAAAAGATATAATCAAATATTTACACAAATGTGAGGGGTGGACTCACTTCTGTGCACACGAACGGAAGTGCTTTGCAGCACCAATAGCAGTTTATTAGATGGAGTGTGGAGACATCTCAAATAGTAACAATTATTATTACAGGTCCTTATATATCACTGTCTATATATATATACACATATATATATATATATATTGTACATTCACATCAGTCCCAAATAAATAAATAAATAACATTCTAGGAGGGAGGGGAGAGTGGGAACAGGAGGAAATAGCTGTGGGGGGTGGAGTGGTGGGAAGAGCAGAGGAGATCAGCAATTAGGTGAAGGTGGGGTAGGCTTCTCTGAAGAGATAGGTTTTCACGGTGCACCTGAAGGTGAGGAGGGAAGGTGACAGTCTGATGGATTGGGGTAGTACGTTCCAGAGGATGGGGTAAGCCCTGGAGAAGTCCTGGAGATGGGCATGGGAGGAGGAGACCAGGGAACTGGAGAGTAAGAGGTCTTGTGAGGAGCGGAGAGTGCAATTTGGGTGGTAGATGGATATCATATCAGTGATGTAGTTTGGGGCAGTGTTATGAACAGCTTTGTACGTTATGTTAGTATTTTGAATTTTATGCGTTGGGCAATCCGGAGCCAGTGGAGGGATTGGCAGAGGGGGGGGTGGCGGATACGGAGTGGTTGGTAAGGTGGATGAGCCTGGCCGCAGAATTCAGGATAGACTAAAGTGGGGATAGCCTGTGTTGGGGTAGGCCGGTGAGGAGGGAGTTGCAATAGTCAAGTTGGGAGATGATAAGGTAGTGAATGAGTTGCTTTGTAGTTTCCGGGGTTAGGAACGGACGTATTTTTGAGATGTTGCGGAAGTGAAGTCTGCATGAATTTGCCAGCGATTGGATCTGGGGCTGGAAAGACAGATGGGAGTCTAGTACTCTGGCTTGCGGGGTGGGGCTGATGGTGGCATTGTTGGTCGTGATGGAGAGGTCAGGGGGGGGGCACGGGCTGGGGGGAAAACTAGGAGCTTAGTTTTGACAAGGTTTCATTTGAGGAAGTGGAGTGACATCCAGTCTGATATGTTGTTCAGAAGGCTAGTGATTCGGACGGAGACTGAAGACATATGCAGTATATCTGTATATGCATTTATATATTTTAGATACTTATAAAATGGTTAAAAAAAATAATAAAAAATATATGCATATATAAATAAAATAGTAAAAAGTGATTTATAAAAGAATCAAATCAAAATGATCTTTACTCCCTAATGTGTGACTACACAAGTGGGCTGATTGAGGCGTGGTGTCTATAAGGGTTACATTATGCTACATGAATCCTTCCCATTGTATCTAATCATCTGAAAGGAAACAATTAATATCAAATTCAATGTTCAGTCTGGTTGGGGCCAAAGTGCCAAGCTCATAAATCCATCCTGATTCGCTGTGGCTCAGGACTCCCTCTCCAATTTTTTTTTTGTAGCTTTCAATCCCCCAGAATAGTAATTGGGAAGGATCCTTATTGTGACATAAAGCCAAGTGTTTTCAGACCCTATGTTGTGTATACACCTTTATGATATTTTGTGTGTTCTTTTATCCTTTTCCAGAGAGGTCTCTTCATTCTGCCTACATATTGTTATGAAGATGGGCATTGAAGTACATCTACTGCACCTTCTGTTCTGCAGGAAATAAACTTCTTGATTTTATACTGTTTATAGTTGTTGTTGGTATGAACGTGTCTTTTCTTTACATTACGCTTTCTTTCAGTGCAAAACACCTTCTACAGGGAAACATCCTTTACCTTCAAAAATGATTCTGTATGCACTGGTGGATCCACTATGTTTTTCACTATTTTATCTCCCCGGTCATACTGGGTGTAATCTGGCATATGAATGCATGCCATGTGACTTGCAAATCACAGGCCAATCACCCTATTGTCCATAATTACAGCGGTCATATTATTGCGGTTCTGACTTTGTCGGAGTCACACCAATTCCTAAGGTACTGCATGCACTACTTTTGGTGCAATTTGCATAGACATCTGTGTCAGATATCTTTCAAATTGCTCCTCAAATCGGCGGTTCACCCGACTTTGAAATTGTGTGACATCACTGTAAGTCAGGATCGGTGTAACCGGGGTGTCATTGTTGGTACTCTTTGGTAAGTAAATTTAAAAAAAAATTTGTGTGGGGGTCATGTCCAAGATGGTGACCAGAGCGGCCACATAATCCGGAGCTCCGGTGCCAAACTACTGAATCCGTTGCCATCCGTGCAGCAGCGGACCACAACGGGGCAGCGGAGGACCCTGGTGGCATCTCCTGCATCTGGGAGAGGGGCTCTGAACAACATTTCCTCCCTCCGTAGCAGCAGACATCCGCGGCCTTGTTTGGCCGCATAAGCCGGGGCTCCGGCGCCTCGCACCTGTACCCGCTGCCATCCAGGTGGTGGGGGATCACTCGGGGACATCTGAGGCACCCTCTGCATCCCCTGAGTCTGGGAGAGGGGCGCCACTGTGTGTTGCCACTCCCCACGGCGGCGGACACCTGTGGCCTACTCCATCTAGCGTGGACCTCTTCTCATCCGGTCACAGTGAGTATGGGGGCAGGTGGGGCTGCTGCCGGTCATTAGATCCCCCCACAGTGATTTGGGGAATGGGACTCCCATTTACTACTCCAGAAACCGCCTTCCTCCGTGGCCACGGCCCCTGTCGGGTTCAGAGGCCTACTGAGGCCTAAATACTGCTCCGGTGGAGTGCTCCCTGGATCTGCCCTGGAGGGCCCTGAGCTCAGCATTGGAGGACCTCTACTTCACACGTGCCCCTCGTCCCTCTCAGACCCTGGGGTGGGATCTGGTGCCATCGTCTTGCTCCTGGGTGATATTTATGGTGGTTGCTGCAGCCTATGTCCTCTCTGCCCCTTCACTGTTTGCTAAATATTTTTACAATATAACGTTTTTGCGGACAAGCCTGATAGCACTTATGTAACTACAACCCTAAACCTGTTTCGGGCGTTATAGGTCCCCTGGGGTAATTATCTCTTTTGGTTACCCAATTTCCAGTTGATCACCCCCAGGAGACTCCCTGTATGCCTTCCACCAAGAAAAAAAGGGGACAAGCTCAAAAGTCCCTCACTACATACCTACTTAAGACACGCAAGATTTGCGGCATGTCTCCAGATAATACAGAGTGAGCATCCCTGTCTGATCCCATGCAGAATACCACAGCTCCTTCATTAGCCCTGGTCAGTGAATATACACAGCAACTCACAAAGGGGGACCTGGAATCTTGCTTGGAAACTATGTACACCAAGCTGGCTGCCAAATTCCAATCAGAATTGCATAAAAGCACTAATGTTCTCTCTCAGGAAATAGCCACATTGGGCTCCAGGACAGACCGCTTAGAAACCAAACATGATGAACTTAGCCTGGCCTATGGTGAACTTTCCAGAGATCATGATCATCTACAAACGGCCTTTTTACAATTGCAGGCGCAGGTTGAAGACCTTGATAATCGCAATCGCAGGAATAATCTGTGAGTCAGGGGAATTCCGGAGTCTGTGTCTAACCTCTCACTAACCATAACCAAGTTGTTCAAATCACTCCTTCCGGATTGTGACCCTGGGTCCTTTGCCTGTGACCGCATCCATAGAGCCCTGCACCCTAAACCCCCTAATGATAAGCCGCCTAGGGATATTGTCCTGTGTATGAAGGATTTCCTGACCAAAGAAGACACACTCAGAGCTGCTCGCAATACCTCAGCGATCTCCTTCGAAGGCTCGGTTTTACAAATCTTTCCAGATGTTTCCCCAGTCACGTTGGAGAAGCGTAGAAAAATGAAAGAAGTTACAACTGCCCTTTTCTCAGCTCGTATCCGCTACAAATGGGGCTTCCCTTTTAAGCTGATAGTTCCACATAATGGGAGCATATATATAGCCACATCCCTTCCTGAAGGTAGAGAAATCTTGGCCAAATTGGGCCTGGTGGATGCCCCATCACCTCAACGTCCACCCTCCACCCCTCGTATCTCTCCCATTTGGCATACCCCATCTCCACGGAGGGATAGAAGGAGAGACAGACAA